TTTACTCACGTCCTGCACTAGTTTTGATTCCCGTTTGCAACTTATTATAACGGCCTCATAATGACAAAAATAAGATCTCGAATGAATTTACCAACAAGAGACTATATTGCATGATTTTTTGCCAATAACTAGTCCACTAAAAACTAAACTTAAACTAATACATCTTCCACAAATGAAATTCGCCATCGCAATGCCGAGTAATTCGTTCTGATTTAGGCTGTAAAATTGGTGATAAGCTCAACCGCCTACATTTTCTGTATAGGATATCTTCATGCATTTGGTCTGTTCTCATCTGATAACCCTCGGCGTCTTTCAATGTTGTTGATGAACTTCTGTTCCATACCCTGATCACATGCACCGAGTAAGCTGACAATTTGACTCAAGTGGTTATCTGACTCGTTCATTTTACGAGTTACATGTAAATACTTGTCTCTTGAGAGGCGTGTGTCGTCAAATGGTCAGACCGATACTATACTCATAGTCCTATGCTTTGCAATCGCCAAATTACTTCAACGTCACATCGTACAAGATCACCGCTTTATTCTGTACAGGTACAAGGCCAAAGCAGAGGTTGTAGAGAGAGGTCATGGTAATCACCATAGCAAGAGGGCTAACACAACCTGATTAAGTTAGGTGCTGTCAAACGGAGTTTCCTTTCATTCCGAGGGACGAGAAAAATACATTGTAATATGCAGCTCTGAAACTACTATCCATCCACGATGTTATGTTACATTCATTATTTTAATTAGCATTCAAGTTTGTGAAGTACAATATTTATTACTTGTGACAATCAAGTTCATGATTAATTATCTCACCAAGATTGACTAGCTCTCACATACCAGAAATTTAAGGTGGTTGTCTCGCTTCTTGAATGGTCACAGTGTAAAATTCAACTCGGCAACTTGCTCACTTGTGATTGATAGTGAAAATATTGAGAATCCCAGAATGCAATGTGATTATGCTAGGTCGCCCTCTCGGGCAATTCTTTATCTTCCAAAATGGCAATAAAACTTTGAGATGACCTTTTCAACTGGTCACTTTTTGATTGTTAGTACGGCGTTAATATCTTATTAAATGTTTTCCCAATTGTGTGGGCTTGAAGTATCTTTATGCAAAAGGGGCGTTAGTTTTCTGTATCAGCTAGGAAATACGTATTCTTCAGTATTTTCATATTTTGAATTTAACCCCTATTTAGATATTAACTCCACAAGTCCCGGGGGTATTGTGACAAGGACAGCAACACGGTACTCAGGGTATGGAATTGCTTTTACTGTCCTTATATTGACTATTTACCATTTCTGAGAAGAAAGTCGTTCTTACATACATTATTGAAGATGTGCAGGTGAATTCTATAAGGAGTTCTAGGACAACTTCTGGGGGGTTCTAGAAACAACCTTGAACAAACTCCGATTGATTCTAAAACTACCTCGCCAGACTCGGTGGTAACTATAATAATAACTGATAATAACTGCACAGTGCAGTAGTGTGACGTCACAAGTGTTATTTAATGTATTTTACTAGTGCAGACTGAAGTGATGAAATGGGATAGTATTGTAGTAGGTGAGTGTGTGCTGGGTAATTCTGCAGCGTGATGGGACGTGGGGAACGTTGCTCATCTATTTTTCTAGGAGTGAGCATCTCCTGCAATTTTACGCGTGATGACTCGTAATTTTATTATCAACTGGTGAGGCGCCAATTTTTGGGTTGGTGTTAGTCTGAGATAAGTTTGCTCAAGTCAAGTGTATTGTATAGATGTCTGCCAAATTTTCTCGCAGCTTGAAGTTATTCCAGAAACTTAGTTTCCCACCTTTTTGTAGAATCTGTTTCTAGTGACTTATTCAACTGTGCTGTGGATGGGTGTAATTTTTGTACATT